CAACATATTTTTGGATTCTCCCACCTTCATAAATGTATTGTGTCCTGTGGTTCTGTATAGTGTCCCCACTTTCATGGCTGTTGTATGCTTGCTTACTACTATATGCGTGTAAGATTTTTCATTCTTATTTTTTAATTCATGCAAACAAAGATCATGCACCAAGATCCATAACCGGACACATTTACAGACTGAATTGGCACTTGAATACTTCCATTACACTGCAACATCCAAATCAGACCATTTCAGCACACGTGCATGACTACTATTATAGAAGGACATTTCAGTTACCTTAAAACCTGTTTCTCCTCCTCCCAGAATGTTTGTAATGCAGCGTGCAGTGTATTATTCCAAGTGACTGATGCTTGTCAGTAGTGAACACTACTGTATCTGTTCATCTGGGAAAGGCTCGTCTGAGGCTTTGCTTCGTTAGCAGAAATGCAGCGTCCACTGCACAGCGAGCTTTTATTATCTGTCTGAACGGATGGCTGTCACATCATCATTTGTTGCGGCTGTAATTCCGTAGTATCCCTGCGAACAGCCGCGTGTATGCTGTGTGAGACAATATAACACATCCGAGCTCACAAATGAATGAGTGGCATTACCCAGATTGTATGGGCTTACATTTCTGCCACAATTCTGCGCGCGAAAGATCATATTTTGAGCGCACAAAAGTGCATTTTGCTGCACGCGCAAAAGAGAAGGTCTGCACACATCCAAAAACGTATTTTAAATGCAAAATTGATTTCCGTGCGCTCGAAAGTCTTTTTTCTTTGCGAAACGAACATTTTCTCCACAAACTCAGATCGCGCGTGTGCAAAATGCACTTTTGTGCGCTCAAAATATGATCTTTCGCGCGCAGAATTGTGGCAGAAATGTAAGCCCATAGATTGCGAATCAGAGACCGGTATGTAGTGTGCAGGCTGTGAAGAGCGCCGACGGTCCCTCAGGAGGATGCAACAGCCTGCGAGGAGATGATGCTGCACGCGCGGAAAGGGTCAGGAAATGAACCCACACCTTTACATATGTTAAAGGAGAGCAAAGCGTCAGCCTATGAGCGTGCGTCATGTTTCACATCACCACCGTCCACAGAATATAGAAAGAAAAGTGACAGCGTTCACATGACACTTGGCTTTATCTTTTAGAAACGTGCTTGTGTTTATAATAATCAGGAAATTAGGAAGCTTGAATTAAATCATAATTTAAAAGGATCGATTGATTACATAAAAGTAAAATAGCCTTTTTTTTTTTTTTTTTAAAGGGGTCATATGATGCGATTTCAAGTAGAGCAGACTGCGCTTGTCAAAGGAGGGGGCTTTGTTGAAAACGTGTTTGAGAGAGGCGGGGCATAGAGGACCTACAATAATGTACAGTATTTGAAAAATAATGTGTTTTTTGAACATTAAAGCATGTCAACGTATTCTGTTACACCAAATACACAAAATAATGATATTTAAAATAGCATCATATGACCCCTTTAAACTGACAGTTGACTCTTGAAACTTTACATAATACATTCTTCATGCTGCATATATGAATTTACCTTTTTTTCTATCTCAAAATAACTATACATAAAAACAACAATAATATAATTATATAATTATATATAATAACATATCCAAGCCAAATTAACCACTTTATATAAATTATGTATAAGAAGAAGTAGACTTTAACAGACTTTTTCATGTATCAGTGTTGTTGCAAGAAACTGCCAGATAGATCTTCAAAATGTACTTTTTAAAAACACTTATTTAAAACAGACCGTGATGGTCTAATGATTCTTTATTGCATATTTCAAATTACATGACTGGACAAAACTACACTGTCCCTTTAAGTATTTCTTAATTTGTTTTTGGCAACAAGCAAAACGAATATGGAAAGATTAGTGACGTTTGGTAAATGAAGACACAATCACATGCACATATACAAATCCCATCACAGACTCTTCCTCTCTTATATGCATGCATGCACATTCATGTGTGCTCGCACACACACAGCAAGGTGCCACATCATTGACAGATTTAATTATGAGGGCTGGCAGGGATTTGTTGCATAAATTAGAATAGTACCAGCAGAGGGGATCTGTAACAAGGCTGAATGAAGGAGATTAAGTGCCTGCTCAACTCATCTGTGTCAATGCATGTAATGTAGGGAAAGTGCTTTAGTGCAAAACTGCCATACTTGTTATTTGACATCTTTATAATTAAATATTACACACGGCATGGGAATGTCATTCCCTCCTTCCTGACTGCCATTACACTATGTCTTTAGTCGTGAAGAAATTATTTCATTAAAATGGCACCTCGATAAGCATGTCAAGGTCTTAAACAAGACTCTTAAAACACGTAACAGTATATATAAAAAAAAAAATTAATTTACCATTTTTGTAGACATTTGTAGAGTTTATAGATTTTTTTTTGTATAAATGATAATCAGTGCTGGGTAGATTACTTACACTCTTTAGTGTACACTCTTTACACTCTGTTACACTCTTAAAAATAAAGGTGCTTAAAAGGTTCTTCACAGCGATGCCATAGAAGAACCATTCAGTAATGTTTTTTTAAAGAACCATTTACCTTTTATATTCTGAAGAACCTTCTTTTGCCACAAAGAACCTTTTGTGAAACAGAAAGGTTCTTCAGATGTTAAAGGTTCTTTATGGAACCATTTAAACAAAAAAAGGTTCTTCTATGACATTGTGAAGCACCTTTATTTTTAAGAGTGTACAGTTTACAAATTACATGATGACAAATGTATTCAGTAATGTAATCTAGATGATTAAATTTTAAGTAGGCCTAATGTATTCTGACTACTTTTGAATTACATTTAGATTACTTTTGACCCCAATTGTTTATAGATTTAAATGGGGTTATTGTTATAAAAAGCAAAGAGAAATTAAATATATTCCCTTCTTTGTTATAAACATCATGAAAAATTCAATTTCCATATTTGAAATATTTTATTTGTTGACCTGCATGTCAGTGACCATTAACTGACATCAGAGAACTGTGAACACGCAAATGTGTTGTTAAATTATTGAAATATTAACATGGTATAATTGACTGAGAGTTGCTTTTGTCTCCAAATTCAAAAGCATGGACTGCAAATTAATTTACATGGCATTTACATGGCCATGTTACATTGTGAATATTCAAAGCTAAACAATATGACACACACAGTGTAATTTTAACATGTAATCAATAAAAAAGTAACTGTATGAATGTAATGTAATCTAATTACAAGTACTACATCTTTGGAATCTGATTATGTAATCCAAATTACATGTAATCACTTACTACCCACAGCGCTGATGATGATGTTCAGCTTTTTAAATTCATAACAGAGCAGTTCCACAAAATAAAAAAGTTATAATTACAACTACGAATTTATCTGTTATTAAATAAATTAAATGAGGCTGTCTGAATCTAGCATTAGATGCCATTATCTCAGTATCGAAAGGCCAGACACAATTAACCCTCGTTTCATTCCCTGTGCTTTGCTGCCTGGGAGGCACATAATTCATGTCCTTCTTATATTTAACATGATCTGTAAGAGCAGCGAGACTCACAGCTCCATGAGTAACGCTGAGAGAACTCCCTGTAGAGCAGGAGGAGGACTTTTCACATATATCTGCCTTATTTATTCATATTATCCCCGTTTTCTTTCTTACACCTCCTCCCACTTAAGTTTTCATCAACTAAGACACCCTGCAGGAGTGAGATGTAGTGACAGCATAGTGACGAATCGTCTAACTACAAAAGACAGGCAGTGTATGCCAAGACAGTCTAAATATTTAGAATGTGATCCCTCTTAAACTGTGCAGCTTTCAGCAGACTGATGAAACTCTAGCCAGTGTACCGCACCTCTACAAAGTGCTTCAGGACGGCAGGATCAGAACAATGAAAGGCAGGGTGGTGAGAGAAGAAGAGCTATTCTGGAGTACAAAGAGATCAACTCTCTTGCTGTGTGCTGCTATGTGCCTCCTGCCTGGACAAGGAGAACACAATGCCAACTCCATGTGGTGCCTGGTAAGTGTTGGCACTGTGACAATTCTCAACGTATTTTCAGCTGAATCTAAGGTCACCTTTGGAGAGTTGAGGGCATGCTTTTTAAAATGACATCACATTCGGTATCACATCCATATACAGTTCACCAGTGTTGGGTAAGTTACTCTAAAAAAGTAATTAATTACTAGTTACTAATTACATCTTCAACAGTGTCATTACTGTACAAATTACTCTCTCCAAAAAGTTTTTAATTACTTATTACTAATTACTTTCTAAATCATATAACAATCTCGACCAGTTAATGATATAAGGATAGACATGAAAAGTTATTTTAATTCTTTCAAATAATTAATAGATAACTACATAAATTATTCTTGCAGAACAAGACATTAATATGTGTTAAGTAATAATAACCAGCCAATATCCTAGTAATATTCATGCTAATAACTAAATAATTAATAGTGAGAATTGGACACTAAAGTGTTACCAATATTCTTATTAATTCACCAAAGTATTTAAAGTGAGAAGGGTACATAAAAAGCATGCATTTTAAGGTTAGACTTTACATTTTTGTTAAATCCACTATAAATGTTCTATAGTCTATACACAGTATTAAGTTCAATTACATAAGAAGTAACTGTGATTAAATTGCAGAAAAAATAAGAGTAATCCCTTACTTTACTTTTTCAAATGAAAATTAATTAAATTACAGTAACTAATTACACCCAACACTGCAGTTCACATGATTATAATATAGTACTATACTATTTTAAATGGCACATTTTGACATAGTCAACATGAAACATTATTTGCAACACATTTTACTTCTGTAATCAGATAAAACAGGATATTCAATTAGCGAATTGGATTTTTATTTTAGGCCTACATGTTTTCTACAGAATTTTGTTGGTGCAGTGGTAGAATCATGTCCACCCCCATTGTATTTTATATATATGATACATTTTATAATATCAATTTGATATTTGTACAGTTTGATTCCATGTTTATGTTTCATTTTTAAACAATTAAATTGTGATTTATGAAAGAGATGAAGGCATTCAAATGCAGTCCATTAGTAGCTTCATGGTGCTTTTAATAAATATATATTTGCACATTCCGAATTTAAGCAGTGATATTAGCCATTGCTCAGTTTACAGGTTGAAGTTCTTCCAAATGCAGAATGATGCTATAGCAGTAAGAGAAGCATCATTTTGGTCTTACATGCTCAAATGCCCACCTCTGAGCACCATTACACATCCTCAGCATCAAGCATCATTTCACTCAAATATATCTCATACTTTTCAGCACAGTGTCAGAACATTATAAATGTATTAGTACAAACTTAACACTGCAGACCTATTGATAAAATACACACAATTCTGAGTAGTTTAAAGTCATGTTTATGTTCCAAGTCATGTTTATGATCTGCGTCTGTCAGCAGGACCCCCAATCTGAGACCAGTCCATGCCCGCCCGCACACACAAACACACAACATTCACAGCAATGTCATTTCAACAGCAGGGCTCATTATATGAACGCACACATGGCTGAAGCTCGTTTCTCAAGTACGAGATCATCAGGAGACCGCCGGCCCCAGCTCATCCTTGCTCAAGTATGACAGAGTAGATGAGAAGAAAGGATGGAAGATGGAGGTAGGGGGGTGCGTGCCTGTGTGCCATCTGGCAGAATGAGTCCATGCTTTTGTTTATTTAAGAATCTTGTGGTAAGGGTAGAGACTGAGGGTAGAAATGAAGGCCCGGATGTCTGTGATGGTAGTAGCTGAAGCCAGTAAAGTGGAAGCAGGAAGGAAGGTGAGTTTGGAAACCTCCCCATACAATGACATCTTACTGCCTTCCTCCTCTTCCTCTCTAGCGGCCGGCTGTTCTTCACTAGGAGGGTCGTTCTCTTCTACTCCATAACCAACAACCTGAAAAGAAACCATTCATCATTCAGACTGGTATCTAAAACAGTATATTCACTAAATAAAATATGAACAAACAGATGTGCATTACAAAAAGGAAACTAGATCTTTAAAAAATTGGGTATTTTTGGTAAAATCCACAAAAGAAGGAATAAAAACCCTGAAAACTGAAGTTGTAACAGTTAAAAAAGATACTTAGCAGACTAATATCAGTTCAAAGGTAAGCAGATTAATTTGAATATAAGAAAATACATGAATAATGGTATATACTAACAATTTGCAAAAACTATGAATTCATCCATTACGATTTAAAATAATAATAATCACAGCTACAGAAATATCTACTGTAATATCAAAGTATTAAGTGAAGTAATATATATATAACAGAAAGTATGCATTAAAAAAAGTAATATAAATGGAGAAAGATGCCAGATTTTTGTCAGCAAGGACTGGATCTCTATATGTATATTAAAGGGAATTAATTGAAGAAAATTGAGTCGAAAAAAGGCAGGAAGAATTTTAATAAAGCAACTCTTAATTAGATTCAGTGCAGAGATGAATCTCAAGAGAGCGATGTGGCGGCAAACTTACATGAACACTGAGCTTCCTGTTGCCTTCACCCCGGTGTTCCATGAACCAGTTCACAAGTTCAGCCTTGGTCATGAGTTTCAGTGCATCAATCTATTGTACAAGCAGAAAAATATGACTATGTCCAAGTATATTCCCACAATTCATCATTAACGCATTGCTGAACTGTCAGACTTTGCCCATGTCCAACAGGGCTTCTCACCTCTCGGCTGAGTCTGTCGAAGACATATTGCTGCGTGACCACCTCTGTCCAGTTCCTGTCCACCTCCTCGCCGAGATGGGTGTCTTCGCAACCCTTCAGTTTTACGAGAGCAGTCACCTGTGTCTTAAAAGCCTCATCACTCAAGCTGTTCATCTTTTCTCCAAAGCTCACCAGAAACTCCTCAATCTTTGTCTCCACCAGCTCAGTGCTAGAATGCAGAAAATTAGCCCAGAAAGGAGAAGAGAAAAATAGTTTTTGCACATTGAACCTCACTCAGAGCCCATATTAACAGTTTACAGAATTTCTATGTGCAGAAGCCATTTTTGCAGCATGCAGCAAACTGAACCCAATAGAAAATACTTTTAAAATGCACTACTGTATTAATATACCAAGGTTCCCACACTTCCTGATCTACACTACCATTAAAACTGATTTTGAAAGAAGTCTCTTATGCTCACCAAAACCATTTATTTTATAAAAAAATACATTAATACATTTTCAAATGTAATTTATGTTAAGCTGAATTTTCATCAGCCATTACTCCAGTATTCAGTATCACATGATCACCTGATACATTTATTATTACTACTAATGTTGTAAACAGTCGTGCTGCTTAATATTTGTGTAAACTCATATGCATACTCTTTTCAGGAACTTACTGATCCCAAAGATTTGTACAAATCATTTAATATAATTTTTTTCTACCTAAAGAAATACTTTAGAACAAAAGTAATTTTTTTAAACATTTTAACTCCATTAAAGGGATTGTTCACACAAAAATGAAAAATGTATGTTTATCTGCTTACCCCCAGGGCATCCAAGATGTAGGTGACTTTGTTTCTTCAGTAGAACACAAACAAAGACTTTTTAACTCAAACCGTTGCAGTCTGTCAGTCTTATAATGGAAGTGAATGGGAATCACGGCTTTGAGAGTTAAAAAAAAAAAAACACAAAACCAAATTAAACCCTGCGGCTCGTGACGATACATTGATGTTTAATTTGGTTTTGTTTGTGTATGTTTTATGACTCTCAAAGCCGTGATTTCCATCCACTTACATTATAGGACTGACAAACTGCAACGGTTTCAGTTAAAAATCTGTTTGTGTTCTACTGAAGAAACAAAGTCACCTACATCTTGGATGCCCTGGGGGTAAGCAGATAAACATCAAATTTTAATTTTTGAGTTGAACTCCCTTTAATTTCCAAGACCTTATAAGACTTTTTTTTTTTAGTATATGACTTGTGGAAAGTCACAATTCCCTTATATTTATTACAGTGGTAACCCTGATATAGATTAACACAGCATTTCATAAGATAGACTTTTATAAAGCAATAAAATGTTATGCATGCTGTAAGTACTGTACGTGGATGTATTGTTAACATTTAGTGTGGGCTGTATTTCAAGTCAGAAATAATAAAAAGAGCCAATCAGTGTAAACACTGCAGTTTAGTCAAGATAGAGGTGGAGATAAAGGTTAATTATGATTTTGGAGTCAAGAGGCAGCAGCTGCAGCACATAAATCAGATAATTCTGATGCAGCAGTGAAGTGCAACCAAAAAGCACAGTGAGAGCTCACTTGAACTTGGTGGCCTGAGTCTCCACTGTGACTGAGAATCCAAGAACACCTGATGTGTTTCTACAGGTTGGGTAGACATGATATCTGTGAAAACAGATGGAGTACAACTAATTAAAACCAGCAACTGGAGCAAGATAATGTCTTAATGTTGTCTCTGTGCCACAGACTTACCCCAGTGTCTCTTTGGCTCGGAGGAAGTCAAAGCATGGCTCCTCCATGTGCATCTACAATATATATATATATATATATATATATTACAACCACTGCTATTTTAGGAATGCAATATATAAAAAGTAAATATGCCTATATGTCTGATCTAAACCAATAAACAAGTTTTACCTGGTAATACACAGTGACCTCAGAGTTTGCATCTCCCTTGTTGAGAGACTTCACTTTGCAGAGATGATGCTTCTGAGGAAGCTCTACCACTCTGAAGAGAACAGGGACCTCTACTGACAGCTTCTTGAATTGCAATTTGCTGAAAGTGGGGAAAGAAAAAAATGCTACCCGATTCTGTTTTTTAAAAAATAGTGGTAGTGCTATACAAAATAAACTGGTGAAAAAAAGTGCTTACTTTGTAACATACTGCAAAAATCCCATGGATTCCTACAGATTCAAAAAATAAATCAAGATCTTTATATTTCATAATAGAACAACTGCAGTTATACACAGTAAAATGAAAGCTTTTTACTTATACAAGTGTTGCATAATTTTATAATATTCTAAGTATACATCAATACACAGTAAGCTCTATCAGCAGCATTTGTGGGATATTTTGAACTTGAAGTGTTCTTTGAAAAACAAATACATGCAGTGTATGTATAAAACGTGTGAAAACTCACAGTGCTAGTGAAGTTTCCCTGCACTAATCCTTCAGCATATAGCTCTGACTTGAAGCTGCCCACAAACTCCATGAGCTCATCCACACTGAGCCCATCCAGCAGACCCTGGCACTTCTGAATGGTTGACCAGCGAGAGTGCTCTAGAATCAGAAGCCTCACATCTCTGAGGAGACACATATGGACAGACAGAGAGCGATGACTGGAAGATCATGCATTTTTTTCATTGAAAAGATATATATAGCCAGTTATATAGACACTGGCATATGGGACTGCGGGGGTTGCGGAGGGACCCATCATGGTGTTCCAAGCCAATTATATTATGCTTCATTTCGCCTATCCTAGTGCAGTTTTGACACTACATCGCTGAAGAACGTGCCATACGCTACCAATCAAACGTTTGAGTTCAGTAAGTTTTTTTTTTTATATTTAATTTACACTTTCATTCAGCAAGGATGAAGGACAAAAGTTAAAATATTCACAATTACGACATAAAACATTTAGCAGCAGCTGTTTCTTGAGCACCAAATCAGCATTTTAGAATTTCTGAAGGATCATGTGACACTGAAGACTGGAGTAATGACTGATGAAAATTCATCTTTGCCATCACAGGAATACATTTTAAAGTACATTAAATTATGAAACAGTTCTTTTAAATTATACTAATATTTCACAATAGTATTGTATTTTTCTGTATTTTTATAAATGCAGCCTTGGTGAGCAAAGACTTCTTTCAAAAACATTTTTAAAAAATCTTACTGACCCCAAACTTATGGAAGTTAGTGTATATACTTGTATTTACACAGATGTTTTAAGGTGGCATAAGTGCATTCACACAAAATCACAATTGCAAGAAACAAATTTGTCACACGCTTGAATGTTGCACACAATAGATTGGCATTGTAAAAACACTAAAAATGGACTTGAATTAGTCCATCTGATTTGTATTTTCTAAATAAAATTAAAAATAGCAAAAAACAACTGATAAGAGTGCTTGTGTATGATGTCCCTACTTATGGGCGGGGCTACAGGCATATATGAAGTGTAAGTGCAGTAAAGGCAAATGTAAAGGAGACACACTTTCCAAGCTTCTCAGGCTTGATGAGGATGTTAAAGTAGGTTTTCTTTAGCTGCTCTGCAAACATGCTGAATACATCAGGAGCGGCGGAGAAATCAGCGAGATAATCCACAATCAGGTTGAACAGCAACTGCAAAAAATATAAAAAATATAAATGAAAAAAAAAAAAAAAGGACACCAATTTCTTCATATATAATCTGATTTGTGCCTGTTAATTACCGGTAGTTTGTGGTTGAAGCCTTTAACCTTGATGACAAGACCATGCTCTCCTGCAACCAATTTATATTCTAGCTGGGCCACATCAGCTTCGTAGGCCGGCTCCGCCAAGTTATGCACCAGGATATTCACAAACAGGTCAAAAAGCACCAGGCTAAGTGGAGGTGAGACGAGAGAACAAAAAGAGAAAGTCAGATGGAAAGGTAAATGGATGAACAAGAACAGAAACTAGAGATAGTGATTCCTAAGACCTGAGCAGACACACTAATGGCTAGATGGGGTTTCCATGGCTACAGCATTTACAAGATCTGCTCGAATGACTGTACGTTTTCACATGATCTTCAGCTTACTTTTTTGGAGACTTCTGAACCACAGGTGATATGAGGTGGAACCGCATGTACGCTGTAGGAAGAGAGAGAAAACGTAAGTGTGAGCTGGGAAATTGAGCACAGAGGTTCGGTACTTCCCACTCAATCTATTTTGCTATTGGACATCGGAGACATGATATATTAAGTGTAGAGACAAATACAACGACACCTTTGGGGATCTTGAACTTGTTGTCCTTCTTATACCACAAACACCCTCTGTCATTGTTCATTATTCTGACAGGGTACTCTGTGTCTGGACAGTCAGAGGTTTTGAGGGTGAAATCGGTGGCTGGAGGTGAAAAGAGACACAAGAACAATTGCAAACGGTCTTGAAACAGGCTACAGATACAGTACATAGCAACAACATTAAAAGATGTCAACTGAAGACACCCACCGATGAACTTATTTTCAGCAGGCAGGTGAAAGCTCGGGTTTAAATCGAAATCTCCTGCCCAAAGCTCTCTCCAGTGCTGCTGTATGTCTGTAAGGAAGAAAAAAAACATGGTTCAAACAAGTGCTTGTGTCTCCAGAGCTGCACAATAAAGAGGAACAATGCTTAACGCTATTTCTTGAATAACTTGAGATAAACCTATGATCAATTAAGAATAAATTTCAAGTAGATTTGAAACCAGGAAATAATCTCGTTCAATAAACATGTCAGCCTGAGAAAAGCATTTCAAAATTCTCAACTTCTCAAGTAAGAAATAACAAATCTTTTAATTAATAGGCAGAAACAGTTTGTTGTGCTTGGACTTAAGATTTATTTCTCTTTTGAGTAACCACCCCCAATCTACTAGTATACTAATATCAGCTATCATTTCCTACAGTTATCATGTTCAAAACCCAAATACTCCTACACAACCAAGGTACTTCTTAATTTTGGCATCAGATATCCTTCTAACGCTGCAGTGGCTACACCGACTCATAAGCTAGAGCAAGTTCTCCACTTCAAACTGGCACCACTGCTGCTTGTGTATGAGTTTAATAAATATATATATAATTCTGTGATTGAAACCCTAGTGAAAAGCTTTTTTAACAATTCAACACTGGCTTCTCACTTTCACTTCCAGTGTAATTTAATACAGACACAGATTGTAAGACACCTATTTTTAACTTCTGATCCTGAATATTGTACTTTTGAACTGAAAGTAGGGAGTTAAAATATATATTTTTAAAAAGTACAAACCCTCTACACTGTACTGGGTCCCAAACCACTTTTCCCTGAGTGGGCACTGGCCTTCATGCTCGGGGGACAAAAGGAGCAAGTAGGCCTTCTCTGGTGTGAGGAGGTTTAGTGCAGCAGAGATCACCTAAGAGGAAAAAAAAAATCCCAATTATGGTGTTTTCACACAAATGTGTACCCATATTTTTGAAAACCTTTAATAAATCAAAATCAGTGCTGCATGTAATGGGCAACTACCTCCGGTTTGAAATCAAACATTAGCTGGTCTCCTGTTAAGAAGTCCTCTTTTGGGAACAGCTGCATGTTTTCACAGATGTCCTCCACGTATTCAATAGGATCAGTCTGTAAAAGCATCACTGTGAGTGCAGTGTCTACAAACAAATGCTCATATCCATCTTTTAAATTATTTCTAAAAGCCAGAAATACAAAAACACTCCATTGTTGGTGAGAAACAGCTAAGCGCTCATAGGCTGACAAATAACCTTACCTGCTCCTGATAGTGGAATTCATTGGCCTCAATCTTTTGAATTTCTTCATATATTCTGCCAAAGAGAAGCAAACTTTTTGGTGATATCTTTCAAGCTACATTATTCAATGTAGTGTGAGTAAAGGTTCTGCAATGATCCTCCTCAAAATAAACACTTCACATGAAGGGCCTACCTCTGTTGGGGCCCAAGGGTCTGAAGCATTTTCAAGTACTGGAAGACCAGATGAGCAACCTGAATGAAGAAAACCAACCAAATTACCATAGATGCATTCATTCTCAGTGGGGCTAAACTTTATAGCAATCGTGTCTGTTATAATTTAGGATGGAAAAGGGGTGTGTTTGTGCCTCGGAGGCTTTGCAATCCTATTTTACACACATTTAGCAAATCTGTTAGTTTCTCAGCTTCCCCCCATATTTCTATAATAACATTAAGTGTGAAAACAATATTATATCTTAAGGATGCTCGTAACTGTAGTGCATAATTTTGACATGCACTAGTAGTGTAGGATCACAGAAATGTGAAACAATGCAATGTCTAGACTTGTGACCAATGCAGACCTCATAGAAGTTCTGGAAGCCCTCATCAGTCAGAGTGATGGAGATACTAAATATTGAATAGGTGGTGTTCTGATCAAAACCAGTTTCACTGTTTCCTCCAAACAAAGCCAGAGCCCAGCACCTACACAGAGAGAAAGAGATTCAATTTCACAGTTTCTGGGGTACGTGCAAAATTTATGCTGCATGTACAGATTAGTTACAATGAAAGTAGAACTACCTTGACATTTATTAAAAGCCAAATCATGAGAGAAAGGACTTACTTCCTCCTAAGCATGGACAGGATACTTCCAGTTCCCTCATGGCCAATCAGCCAAGCAATGTAATGCAGAGGCTTTACCCTGAGGACCAACAGAAAGAGCATTGGTTAAGCATCATATTATAAAAAGAAATAATATTGGCATTCCAATAAAGACCAACAAAATCAATATGTAAAGTCCCAGTAAAATGGTCAAAGATGTGGATATATTGTATACTGTAGATGTGTTTTTAACAGCACTTTTGAAAGATGTTTTTTGAATCCATGTCATTAAAAATGACTGAACCTTATTGTGGATCACTTATTTGTTTTATAAAAAGGAGCCACACAGAGCGCAATCATGACTAGTTTACCTGTAGTGCTTCTCTTGAGGTGGTAGAGCCCATGTGATGGTGAGGGCATGTACTTTTCTAACAGGCACCACTGCAACAAACAACAAACAAAATATTAATAGTGAGTTCTAGAGTTTTGTTAAACCTCACTTGAGCAGTAAGTTCTACGGCATACCTCGGTAAAGTTTGTTGAAGGCAGGTGTTTCAAAGGGGCTCAACTGTTCTGAAAAATCAGGTTTCGGCTGTCCACTGAATCGCATTGAGAAACTCTTTAAATACATTTTTATATTATCACATTTTACAGATATTCAAATAGGGCTTTGGTTTAGCTTACTTGCTGGGTACCTGACTGAAGATTTCTCTAACCCATTCCTCAAGGGTGTCAAGACTCTCTGCGAAGGTTGGAGCAGAAGAGATTTTAGGATCATTTTCTATTAGAAATTCCATATACAAATTAAGTCCTGCATACTGTACCTACCTTTAGACTGCACAGCTAAGGTCATATAGTGGGCAGAGTAGTATCTCTTCCAAAACTCACGGAGCCGCTTGTAAACATTGATATTCTTTTCCTTAGGCTCAGTCTTCAGGGTCTGTGCATTTCCTTAAATACAATCACAAGACCATCAAAAAAAGCAACTTTAGAATAAACCCAGGAGCTACTCTAAAGCAGCTTTTAACATGTTTGACTTACCCCAGCAGAACTTGCTCATGGGATGGTTGGGCTTTGCTAGGCTGCCAAAGAGCATTTCCTTACGGTGAGAGTCTGAAGGCTTAGCAAGCTGATATTCTGTAGCAAACAAAAAAAAAAAACATCAGGCTGTTAAACTGCACAGTTGAGCTATCAACAATATTTTAATCTATAATATAAATGCTTTACTCACCACTGTCCACAGCCTCAACCTCTCGGTCAATGGCGTCTTCAATCATAAGAGGACAGATGAAAAACTGAGCCCATCTGAGATAAAGACAATCACATTATTTTAAAGGTTAAGTATAACCAAAGGTTAAAACATATAATCGCATTTGCTTTTATTTCAATGCTTTTGGTTAGAAAAATACTCAACAGGATTGCGTTAAGTATTCTGACTCAAAAAAAAAGACAAAGAGGCCATCAGGATAAGAGGTGATGTGATGTGATAAGATCACATCTTTTAGAGCTGCTTTACCTGTCAAGGGCTTCTTTGAAGCATTTTCTCTGGACATCAAATTGGAAAATTGTTCTCTCACAATCAGTGGAAGCATTATCACTGCCGCCATGCTTTTTAAGGAATGCATCAAAGCCATTTTCAGAAGGGTACTTTTCACTGCCCATGAACACCACTGGGAAGTAGAGAGATACGTTTGAGTTAAACATTATCACTGAGAATAAAGCATTACTGAATACAATAATGGCAAAACAACTGCATGTGTGACTTACTGTGTTCCAGGAAGTGTGCAAGGCCAGGTAGGTCATTAGGGTCACTGAAACTCCCTACGCCAATACAAAGGGCCGCTGCAGACTAATTTCAGAAAAAAAAAAAAAATTAAACTGCACTGAAATACAAATACTGAAACACGCTTTAGCTGATATTTTTATGTAATGGCCAATTGAATGTCATATTTTTGTTCATAACTGATAAAATAGCTTTGAATTTCTTTGTCTAAGAAAAACACTACAAACTAAGATGAGTTGTTTTAAATGCTACAAGTGAATCTAGGCATCAAAACATTATAATGTACAGTAATAGGAAATGTATATTCATTAAGATTTGCTAAATATTACAAGTAACAGTCCCATTAAATTAAAATGTAAATGTAAAAAAACAAATCCATAATGAAATATCCAATACTGATAAAGATAACTTAACACACACACACAAATCTGTAATATCAGCTGATATAGCATTTATTCTTCAAGTTACGATGAAACAAGTAGTGACAGATCCGAATGATTATTAAAAAAGAAAAAAAAAAGTACAGTGGGGACTATCCATCAGTTGTTGTCTGGATGGATGAAGAGCTGAATGAGAGTTTCAGTCGATTGTAAGAAAGGGGCTGTTTAAGCGACTAAATGATTGGAGAAGTCATTTCACAGGGATATCGAATTATGACCGTTTGAAAAAGAGGTGAGGTAAAAGAAATGCTTTAATATATAGGTTCAACTAAAAAAAAAAAGCAACCAGTATCAGAGTCTGAATCCCTAGACAACAAAACACAAACCTGTTTTTCAGATCCCTTTTTCTTCTTCCTGTCGTTGTCCTCGTCAAGCTCTTCAAAGTCGCTATCTTGACTGTCCCCTTCTTCTAAAGATTCCTCGTCCGTTCCTTCCCCCGAGTCTCCCTCCTCTTCCTCGCCCACTGCCTCCTCTTCTTCCTCCTCCTCCTCTTCTGAATCTTCATCATCCTCATCTTCAGCTTTCCCATCTAAACCACTCAGATCAGAGATCAGGAGAGCCCTCAGTCCGTTACTCAGCTCAATGTATCTGGATAAAAAGAGAGAGAGAAAAAAAAAATCTGTTAGCTGGTTTAGTCATCAGCACTTGCATGCAGTGTTGTGTTACACACTCAAGAGATGCAACCAGAGCTTGTGATTTACTTGTGTGATCTCATATTTCTGTTAAAACCCTGGCTTTAAGTGCCAACATACTGTATCATTCATAATGTAAAATGATCTTTTAAAAGCATTCACTTGTTACTTTAAGAATAAGAAAGACGCTGACCAATAGTACCTAGTTATCAGGTTAAAATCTGTACATGTAGACTTGTATACCTGTATTGTTTGGGGTCACTGGGAGATTTAATAATTTGAGGGTCTCCCTGGTTGTCATCTCCACCACTGTACCCTGGAGGTGCGTTGGGGTCTCTGAGCGCTTCTCCCCGGTCTGGACCAGCAGACTGAGCAGCACTGCTGGCTGAAGCACTTTTGAACTTGTTTGTCTGGGGCATCTTGAGCAATGATGCTAACTTACTTTAGCACTGGAGTTGAGGTGAACGGAGCGGTTTAAGACCCTGCTACAAAACAGGAGAAACGCACGCGCAGCCTTTAACAGAGCAATACTGACTTTATCAGTCTAAAAGAAACGATACTCATATTAGAAACCTTAAAAATAAATATATTATGTAATCTATCTCGAATGACAGAATGAGTCTGCGCTGGCCTTTGGTGAGGAAATATTTTAACTTCAGAGACGTACTTTTTACAATATATATTTGTATCATCACCACTGTGCTACAATGAAGCTAATCTGCTACATAGTGATACAATTTAATATAAACCAAAAACGCCTGGATCGCTTGCTATGGATAGCAAACGAAATAAGCTAATTTGTCTAAATCATGATATGCCCAAGTGCGACCAGTCCCTCACATTATTTGACAAAGTTAGCCAAGTTTCATCGCATTCTCATACCTGCTATCCTGATGATGGATCAGCCGAACATACAGCATGCTCAGTCTATCACTGGTAGGTTGCGTCTATGCAACAAGAAGAGTTGTGATTCGTCAAAGGTCATAGGCGTAGTAAAACGCAACTCTCTGGTTGGCCAAAATCCTTGCTAAGGGGAATAGATACACGATGCTGTTTTATCTGTCTCAGCGATTCATAAATGTATGTTGTGGACCGTTTACTAAATTAGCGGCAGAATTGTGTAATGACATCATGTATATATTACCTGTCTGTCTTTTAGTAAATGCCTGAGACTATATTTTTTTTATTTAAGAGTTACGTATAAGCGTGTATACATTGACAGTGATTTTGGACTCGATCCAAGATAAATCATCCTGAAGAAAATGATGTACAGGATTGGTAAGACATTTACAAAGTATATAACTGAAGATGCTTTCATGGCAACTTAAATATACACCTTCCCTTATTAATATACATACATTTTAACCTTATATTTTGACTGAAAAAAAGTTTATGGATATGTTACACACCAACCACCCAAACACATTTATGGCTTCATATGACCTTTAGAAGAGCTGTAATGATAATGTGTTTAAGATTGTCTTAGGATACTACCATGTAACATGCCAACATATTTGTCAAAGCCATTATTAACTCTGTAAAGTTGTACATGTAATATAATAGCCAGAAAAATGTTTTTTTTTTTGTTTGTAAATTTATTTAACCTTCAGAGAGAGAAAAAGTTGGCATACATCAAACATTGTTTTTTTTTTTAGATTTTGTTTTGTATCATATTTTGTACACCAGGTTTTTATGGTTCATACACTATGATATAGTGAGAATACGGAGCTCTCACAAAAATATGCAATTTTGCTCGATGTTGTTATTTATATGGCCAAAAAGTAAGAAGAAATTCTGATGAAAAACTTAATTTTGATCAAAAACAAAATGAGATTTTTGTAACAGTAAACAGGCTGCTTCCATAAAGAATTTTGAGCAGCTAATCTCAGGAAATGTGAACATACTGTACACATTTCGGGCTATTTAGAACAAGGCTATTTATTTTATATGGCTTTATTATATCTTAGATTGCTGAACATCCTATATTGAACATTCAGTAAACTGATATGCACAGGCACAGCTTAAGTGTTTTTTTTTTAATCTTTATTTATTTCCATTTAATTACCTACAGATACCCTGTGAAAGGAGACTGATAAATACTGCGTCCATGACAACCAGATGTGGAACAGTATATTGGTATGCTGAGCTGTCATGATAAGACTATCAAATGTTAACTCAGTGTTTTCAGTCGCATATCACATCATTGCTGCTGCTGTGGATGAGACCAAGCTTGAGTCATAGGTAATGTGTTTAATGAGTTCTGCTGTGGATGAAAGGAATGGATGGTTTTCTTGCAAGGTTCTCATTTGCTGATGTTTAGAACAGGTAATCTATGCTTAGTAATTTAATTCTGGTTAATTGTTTCTATATTTTACAATTGGAAGGCTCTCAAGTGGAGATAATCATAATCATTGGATTCCCTGTATAATCCTGTGTGGGCATTACATGCCCGTGAACACGCTTGCATTGTTTAGCAGTGGATGACTGAGACTGTCTCCGCCAGTAGGGGGAGCTCTCGTCATGGCATATTTTCTGCTTCATTTAGTGTGGCTGCTTTGACGTAATCTTTTAGCATCTCAAGTATGATGCTTCACATGATAAGAGGTGATTTCCCTTGGAGCACTGCTCCTGTTTTGCGAAATGCTGTGTCACAACATTTTGAGTTTAGGTCTGGTGCCTTTCAATTTTTAACAAGATGCTTTTGACAAGGAAATGCTAGGCCAGAAAAGCACTCGAACAGGCAAACAAATGAGACTGAAAAAGCCCTTGTGCAAACATTTATTTATGTCAAGGATAATAAAAGTATGCCAGTGAAAAATGTATTAATTCCAAGCAAAATAAATTCAAATTCAAAATGATTAAATATAACACCAAATACCAACTGTGCAATATTTAGAAAGAATACAGGTAAAGTGAATCATTAAAATATGTTTTATTGCTATATAAGTGTCATTCTGTATTAGAAATAATGCTGATTTTTAATGGATGAACATACACATAATATATAGATGATTAAGCTATTGTGTCCCACTTTACCTACAGTCACCCTATATTGAATGGCCCTGAATGGTTTTATGAAAACATGATTTAACATAAGATTCAGTCACGCCATTCAGAGTCAGATATTTCCTACTATTTGCAGTCGTCCATGGCAACACTGTATATCCGGTAACTAAACCGGTGCTATTTTTTTCAGAGCACATGAGTATTAATGTGTTAATATTACAGTAACATTGCTGCAGTGTTTGTCTTGTTGCTAGGCTGATTATTTTGTAAATTTTAGTATGTAATGGAAAATATGATTTGCATATACAATTATCTGTTTATATTGTAATATAAAAAACAGCACTAAAAATCAAATGCATAATTTTAGCATTTATGTGTTAGTGCCTGTCTGTGCGGACTGCTGCATGTATTAAAAAGGCTTCTAAAATAGCACCCTTCATCCACTGCACTTAATCCATCAGGAGTTTACATAGGGACTCCAAAGGACAGGTTCCCATGGCAACTGATTTATATCCTAATTAAAATGGGAGGGTAGTTTAATTAGCTTAACACTGGTTATTGCTCAAGGCCGGCCGTCCTTGGTGGAGGTCCATGTGTGTGAGGAGAGGGGTCATTGCTCTATGGTATCCACGAGGTGTGCCTAACTAAATAGTAACAGCACCTGTGGATCCAGATACCTTCCCTCTCCAGCACCTCAGTGGCAGCGACGCCCTTCATCTTCTGGGTAATTAATGACCAGCTTCAGGCTAAATGAGCTTCAAATGGCCTGACCACCAGATTACATCTCGTGATTTTTTTTCTGGAAAAACTGCACCTCTAATTGTGTCTCTTCAGTTGTTGTAAATTGAGACAGTTGGTTTTGTTGGTTTCATGTGAGGGGGATTTATAATTGAATGAGAGTGCTTGAAGTGATTTGTTAATTAGTCAAAGGTGGTGAAAATCATGTAAATCCTTAATATAATCATTCTTCAAACAAAGCTAATCTTTTGTAATAATATTAATTACACACAATTACTTGCTTAACTTGATCAGTGTGTGAACAGCATGGCATGGCTATTATACTATTATGGAAGGGAGATTGAATTGTTTCTTTGAAGGCGGTTGAAGTATGCTTTAGGTCAGAATCTGGCATTAGTTTTCAGAGATGGCCGGGTTTCTGGACCTCATTACTATCTTGTCAATCATGGTGCTTTCTTCCTCCTCGCTATGTGATGGCTGCAGAAAAATGGATGTCCAGCACCACATATACCGAATAAAGTCATATAAAGCCTTATAATTTCAATCCCAGAATTCCTAATGATTTGTTTGTTTGTATTTTTCCAGCTATTTTCTCTTCAAAGGGCTCTGGTAAATACTCTTGCAGCAATTTGATGGAGAAACACTGCTTTAATCACCTTTAACGGGCTTTAGAAGAGAAGGGAAGCTGCTGTCGCTAGCTAATTCACTGGAACATGTTCAGACCTGTAGCGCTGATCTGTGTGATGGCATTAAAGATTTTTTTTAAGGATCTTCAGGAAAATGCTTTAATGCTCAGAGGCACAGAGTATTCACTAGCTTTAGCTCAGATTCTCTGTTACCTGTGGGAAATTCACAATAAAGGGGAAAGTAAAGTCGATATGCTTGTGTGTTCAGAATATTACTTGTATATATGTGAGGAATTTAGTAGTTAATGCTTAAAATTAAGCATGCAGGATGGTGTGTTCCACAATAAACAAAAATGATCGGATGAGAAATCGTATTTATTTCTCTATGTATATCACTGTCAAATGAAAAACTCATTATGAAGTAATTAACTGGTGATTTATAAGATAATTAATCAGCCATATGAGAAATCAGCAAAAGTGGGCATCAAGTCAACATTGTTCATTCTCAGTTCCAAAATAAGCAACATGCCCATGTATGAAGCACCACATTGTTGTGCAATAGCAGATGGCACTATGTTTCCATGGTAACCAAAATAAGGTTTCATTAAATTGTTAGGGCCCTAAAACCGTGAAGGATGATGAATAAGTAACCCAAGAAGCCTCATCGCTCTGGGAACAGTTACAGTATTATTTAATAATACGAGAATGCTGACACAAAGTAAATAACCCGCGTTACGCATTACGGGTACAAACAATCTCAAATACTTTCTTTCGTAAATCAACGCAAATCCAACAAACGTGTCACAGGAGAGCGAGCGTAACGCATTTAAAGCGCGTGAAAAAAGCCCCGCTGAACCTGAAACGGTGTGTTGCGCGCCGGCTGCTGCGTTCATGTTATTCTCATCATCTTCACATATTTGGAGCGTTTCATAGCAGGGCTGCGAGCGGGCGGGCGCGATCGGTGCAATATATTTGACTTGGAAACCGAAGTCCAAGGCAGCGCCATCCTGTGATTTATTTCCATGCCAACTTGCATACTTGCAGCGGTTTAGTTTTTTTTAACAGTTTCTATCCGAAATGTACTAAGATCTCGCTCATCATCAGTCCTCACAGTGGTGCTGAACTGCAGCCTTCGCTGTCTTCACTGTTGAGCGCTCGTCAGGGGAGCGGACCTGCATCCTAAAGCAAACCTTTCTGAGACATTGCAGTCCTGTCACGTCTTCGGCTTTTCTATTTGCCTCCACCACGAGAGCGGAGAGGAGAAGACGAAGAAGCGGCTCAACGGTGGTGACATGGCAAGAAGCAGCATCATTTAAAGTGGTCCATCTTCCGCTTTTAATTCCACTGCAGTAACCTGAGTGAGTAGCGCACATTTCTGCTCAGTTAATGCCTCTGATATGGATACGGACGCGGGCGGTGTTAACGGCAGACAAAGGCGAATGCTAATAGAATACATTTTAGCGCATTGGATTATCATTATGTGTTAATTATGTCTCTGACAGCGTAATATAATGGCGTGAATCGCTCTTGGTTAGCTAATGAACATTGTGTTCAGCTTCCATAAGTTCAGCTTATTTCATGCAGTGCTTGAATGGTTTCCGTATATGTCTGTATTGCATACTCTGTTCAAA